AAACAATTGCTTTACTCCGAATTGCCGCTATTTGAAAGTGAAAGTAAAATGGGCACACCGCTTTTACAAGCTATTTAAAAGCGAAGGAAAGCGAAGAAAAGAGGGAACGCCCCACTCCCATGGTGATACCGGTATTGTCACACGACGATTAACCGGTGGGATAATTTCCTCACCGTCACAACCCTAGTAATTATACAAACAAAACCAGTTACTTTGCCTGTGAACAACATTGTTTTTTTAAGTACCGGTGGTACCGAGTACCCGGTCAACCCGGTTCTTGATGCGCTATCCGAAAGGTGCGCAGATGTGCTCTCTTCATAAAAGCACTGAGACGTGGCGAACTCAAAACGAGGAAACAGCTTGAGCAGTAAGGGAATGGTTTCTGTTTGTTTTTGTGTTTTGCTTTGGTACCGAAATTGGTACCAAGAACCGTGGATTTCCACTGGTATTGGTACCGAATACTGAAATTTTGGTAATGTGACAACAACACTACAACCAGCATATAACTGGGCTGCAATATGACATTGAAGTGGATCTGAAATAATGAAATGGACTGAGGGAATTCATCCTCAACGTAAACAAAGAGAAGAAACTTGTGTACTCATGGGAGGCAAACGAAAACTAGGTCAGAAATGCCTGTAGTGATGACAAGTCAATAAGATCAACAGCAAGCTGTCAACCACTTTCACACTTGCTTAACATAGACTTCAACTGGAATGCTTACTTTTTTTTTCCCACTGCCACTATACTAAAAACACCTTTTTGTTTGCCCTCTACCAGTTTAATCCTGTTTTTTTAAAGGTTTGCTCATCCAAAAATTACAATTCCATCATCATTTACTCACCCTCATGTTGTTCCAAACTTATATGACTTTCTGTCTTCCTTAAAACACAAATGGAGATGTTATGCATGATGTCAGCATCAGTCACCCTTTACTTTCTTCGTGTTGGAAAAAACATGAACCAAAAGTGAATGGTGACTTTAGTTATCATCCTGCCTAACATCTCTTTTTGTGTTTTAGGGAAGACAAAAGTAAATGATGACAGAATGTTTCATTTGTGTGAGCTGTTCCTTTAAATTGAAGCCGTTTTGTTTACAACCCAAACAAAAACAGCATCTTCTATTGTCATCTCTCTTGTAACAACGTGAAACTTGGCCAGAACCCTTTACAAGCATAAAAAGTTGGGAAAATAGACGACAGAAGAATGAAAACTCCAAACAAAAGCCCCATCCGTGGCACACTCACCACTCAGAGACCGACACAAACAAGTCTGAAAGTGACTAATACAGAGGGTTTAGACCACGTACTTATTCTTCTGGTTAATCACGTTCGTCAGAAGCTTTTAGACGCGTCTATGATAATATACCGATCTGTTAAACCGTTTAAAATCAAATTCCCTTTAAGAAAAAGCTGGAAAACAACAGACGGACCGTTTCATGCAGCGTAGCAACGGGAGCTAGTCAGCTAGCAATACTGACACAAACAACTTCATTAACGCAAAAATACAGTCAGAAACACCCTAAAACATACTCTATCGACTACATGGGAGTGTCGGGTTTTTGCTCACCTGTCTGCGTAAGCGGCGAGCGGTTGTCCCTCAAGAGTGCTCTATAGTCGGAGCAGCGCTGCGGATCCGGTGGACTGATTGACTGGCTCGACCTGGCTGGATTTTCTGGATATCGTTGAGTGTTAGTGTGACGCCCCTCGCGTGAGGGCAGCGTGGCCAATCAGAATGCGCGGATAGGTCACGTGATCGAGTTTCAGGATAACCGGTTTGACGGGATTTGTAGTCCGCGGTTGACTTGTTTGTTTGTGGGATTCATGTTTTCTTTCATGTTTTTTGTTCACAGGCACAGTATATTTATATATATGTTATTTTATGTTTAAATATGAACTATTTTAATTACTTATGTTCATTTAGTAAAAAACATTACTCAGAACCTTTAGGATATTGCCATATAAAGATGCAACCAAATATTGATAAGATTAAGAGGGGGCAAATGTAAAAAGTTTACGAATCTATCATTTAACAACCCATGTTGATCGACCGCTATTGTGAATACTGAGGTAGACACCGAGTCCCCCAATGCCTATAATGATAACAACCATGCTGTCATGGGCCTGTGATGAATTGATTTGAAGGCTATGATTTTGTGCAATCTATTACACAGATTCAAATATTTGCATCACAGAAACTGGGGATATGCAGTGACATCCCTCCCTATCAGTTATTCAAATATGATATCAATGCTAACAGCTTTAGTTGTGCAATGTTGGAAAGTAGCCTACTTGATTAACAAATGATGTAATCGATGACAAAGGTTATAGAGAAAATGTACTATGATCTTTACAGAGAAATTATACCTAGGCTTTGACCATTATCACTAATCAAGACTTAAGTCTGTATAAAGGCGAGAATGTAGGTTACACCACATTCAGGAAATCTAAAATTCATATTTATTCAGTCCAACGAAGCAGGAAAAAATGCTAAATGTAAGCGCTGGTTTCGATAGTGGTCTCTGCCTGGCTGTATGTGGTTATATGTTTCCTGTGGTGTTTTGGCCTATATGAGCTTTCTGGAGAATTTCCAGTCCAAACCAGCTCAGGTCATGGTCATTTGACCATTCAAACCCAATGAGAAACCAGATAAGTGGAACATAAGCCTATGTGTTCTGGCCCAACATTAAATGAGGCTGATAACCATCCAAAAAAAAAAAAAAAGGCACCCACCTATTTGCAAAACAGATGTTAGAGGAGGGCATGCAGAAAGACCTGTCAATACTTTCATTAAGTATTCACTGGAAACTCTCCCAACCTGCATGCGGTTCACACAGTACAGTTTGTGCCAGTGTCTACTAATTGCATAACAAAACCAGTGAGCTGATCTACTAATAATGCGATGGGAACTGTAGACAATTGGCATCAGTGAAACTAGTCCGGACCAGTGAAAAAGAGGGTGTGAACCAAGGAACTGGAATCTGAACTGAGATGTTTGTGTTTGGTTAGGTATAAAGAAAAGCAAGGCCACCCCACCCTGCAACTTCTCCAAAAAACACAAGTTGAGCAACATAGACCATATTGAAAACAAAGCTGTGATGGATAGACTCAGAGTCTTTACAAAGGCACACACTGTATAAAGGTCCTAGATCACATCACTTTCACAACTTTTAAAACTGATGTTTCATCAGCTGAATAATCAGTATGCTGTTAAATGGCAGTACAATCCATTATCCCTCACAGCCTCATTTTCATTAGTCAAAAAAATTAAATATGGCACTACTCGAACTAATCACGTGATCACTGCCTGTATGAAAAATATCGAGTGTGAGTGTAAAAGTTACAATATATTTCATTTACAACACATAGATAATGCATGATACCAAAAATGCTTGATCGTATCAATAGAATAGATCATATGAGCAGCATTTTAATGACTTATGCACATATCACATATAACTTTATGCAATCTATAACCCTGGTCATAAATGTGATGAAGTCATTCCACAAAGCAACATGAACAAACACAGAGTGTTAAACAAAAGTAAAGCAGCAGAGTAGGTAATAATAATCACTATTCATATTTTTAATATTACTGGTTTGAATGAGGGGGAATACACACAACAAGCATATGATCACAGGGCAGCAAACAAACTGTGGAGTGACATGTCAAAGAGATTGTAAGTGTTAATGGCATATATGACTGACTGGCTGTTATTTACAAGTGTAGTTTTCCTCCAAAACACTCATGAATGAACAAAAGATCTTATTGTCTTGTTCCGCGGCCTGACAGTGGGAGAGTTCGGCTATGATCGCCCCTTCCATCCAGTGGCCAGTAATATCTTCTCTGCTAGCATATAAATCCCCAGTTAAAAGCTTCTTTATCAAAAAATAGTAATTAGAACAATACATATGATGTATAAAATGAGAAAGAATTAATAAAAATATAGTCTGAACCACTAGTATTTGGTTACAATAATAGTTTTTGCAGTCCTTATGTAGCCTTGATTTTTTCCCCCTATTTTCATTTACCAGACACACATTCATTACCGTGAGGCTTTGAACCGTTTCAACCAACAATGACAAAGACGGTGACAGAACCAACACAATATTCTCTGCTCTAGATTAGATGTAATTCCAAGATATGATGTACGGAAGCCCCTGAAATGCATCAAAGGTTCATTACAGACTTTTGAAAGCCTATACGAAGGATACAAATCAAATGATTTTGGAAGAATAAAAGGAGTTGTGTGTGTGTGCGTGTTGCTCCAATTCAGGTAAAAACGTTCCTACTCATTCATGGTTTCATTTTTCACACGTCTCTCCAGGTTTATTAGCAGAAATGCTTGTGTGACAGGTAACAGGCAGCATTCTGTTCTTGTCATATCTCAAGGATCTTTATGACATCATGGAACACATGTCCAATAATTCCACAATTCTCTGACTCAAGGTTCTTAAGAGCTCTGATATCGGCAAGGTGGAGTGTGTTTGTGGAGGTGAATCAGTGGCGGACCGAAGGTCTGGAAAAGGCGATGAGCCGTTGTTCTCCGTCCTCTTTCTGCATCTCTACCTTTTTAGAGTCTCTGAAGAGTTTGTAGGCTCTTCTTTTTAGAACAAGCAAAGAGTTTGTGCCTCTCTGGATTCAAACATCAAGAGAACAACAGCTTGAGCCAGAATACATCACACCGGTGCCTCCTTTTCATCAATGACGTCCAACTTTTGATTCTTGAGTCAGAAAAGGTCATTAAATTACTATCAATGGCACACGTACAATTATTTATATACTTTAATTTGTTGCTATTTAATATATCATTTTACATTTAATTATCTCTAAGTTCCCCCTCTGGGTCCGTTAAGGGTCCCGTTCTTCTCCCGCTAATTGCTCAGTGCCTCTCCAGGGCGTCTGTCCCGTCCCTAGGCTGCTACTTGCACACAAACTGGTCTACGAGCGACGTGCAGCGCTTGCACTTGACGTAGCAGCACCAGTGGAACTTGCAGTGGCAGCGCTCGTGTTTGTAGGTCTTGAACTGGTCGTAACCGCGACCGCAGCACATGAGCTCGCAGCCGTCCATGCCCTCCGAGGTCTTGTTGCACAGGCGCCCCTGGGTGCCCAGAGAGCCGGTGGTCTCGTTACGCAGGCAGTAGTCCGGGCTGGGGTCGATGTACACCAGGTCCTCACTCGTCGGGGGGTTAAAGCGGTTGTTGACCAGCTCCAGCTTGCCTCGTCGGTTGATGCGCATGGCGGCGCCACTGTCGTATTTCTCTTTCAGGAACTCTCCCACACGACGGAAGTCAGCCAGCTGGAGCCAACAGGTTTTCAGGCTGCACGAGCCGGAGACTCCGTGACACTTGCATGCAACATTGGCCAGGTTGTACACTGCCTGTGAGTGGAGAACGAATTAGAAGTGTTGATAGAATGTTTCATGACAATATTACTTGAAAACAACAATCAGCAACAGTTGAAGCATAATTTTTTTTCCCAGCATGATCAACACAAAGGCACAAATACCAAAACTTTTCATAACAGGACTAAATAAGCTTTAACAGATTGTTTTTATATTGTAATATTGTTTTAGTTACACAAATAAGCACTAAATAAATAAATATTGCCCAAATCCTGCCTTTTTATTATTTCAACTTTTTAATCTAGTTATGGTAAAATGATCAAACTGGCTACTGTAGATATTGTCTAAACTGTAAGAAAGCTAGTTTGGAAGTATCAGCAGGAAAAGGCAGAAAATTATAAACTAGTCAATAATATTTTGCAATATATGTCATAATTCCCACCCAAAAAAATTGTTGATGAATTTATGTCTCTTGTTTCCAGTGTAATTTTTTTTCTTTGCAAAGAAAACTTAAAAACTATATGAAAATAAGGGGGAAAAATTTTGATGTCTGAAATAATGAACATTATGATAAATAATATTTTTGTAAACATTTTAAAATAAATATTAAACAAGAAAAATAGAAATGTAAACATATTTTTAAAAGTAGATGTGTGAGAAATAAATAATAAATATTTGTAATAAACAAAACATTAATAAACGTAATTTACACACATATATATATATATATAGGACAGTGAGAGAAACTGTGAATGATAAGAGTTGAGCTATTACTTTTACTTTTTTTACATGATTGGAAGCAATCATCTGGAACAACCTAGCAACTACATAGCTTTATCGCTATTGTTTTTTTTAAATTTAATGAAATAATTTTCTTTAGGTAGCACAACAGTAGTACTATAAACAGCTGCAAACTAAATCTTGATGGAACAACGGTGCCCTCTAGAGGCTAAATTTGTTCAATGCACCAGTCCGTTTGAACCTGGTGGGGCCTCCTGAGGCCTTTGAGTTTACGGTCCCTTTACAAACAGAGAGCCGCAGTGAGAGCATTTGGAGAACAATGGGATGAATAGTCATTCTGTTCTAGAACACACAGAGAGCCCTGAGACTACTGACAGCAGACTTCCTGCTGATTAAATTCACTGAAACCCCCAGCTGAATCAATAAAGAAGCGCTCGACATATTGTCGTACTAAACTAACGGCCGTTCTTCCCTTTCCTTTTTAATTATTTAACATGTAACATTAACAGACTATTACTTTTCATTAACTGCCCACAACGGGGTGTACCGAATGTGTCGCATCTCACCGACAAACACAAAAACAAGCTAATGAGTACAACGTCTGGGCTCAATCAAGTTTGGATGGCCAGCGTGGGTATTTCCGCCCTGGCTTGTGACCTGTCTTGTTTGCTGTGTCTGTTTAGTGTCCCGAACGAGGGAACATTAAAGGCATTTCTCTCTCTGTTTCTCTGTCATTTAAGCCCAGGCAGTGCTCCTCCCTTTAACACCTCACGTGAGAACATTTAACGGTCGTCTCTTGAGGATGTGCTGCCCTGCCACGACTCTTCAACCCCCCTCCGGTGGCAGCTGTTTAAGCCCCCTCAATTTTACCTGCTCGCACACAGACATTAAGGGGAGTTCCAACACCTTTCAAGTCTCTGTCATCACCAGCCCTACCTGCATACCTGTCTGCAATCCAGAAACAACACACACACACACACTTTCCCACATCACGCAAGCCATTCTCGGCTATTTACAATCTTGCGTGTCAAGCGGCAGTTCTGCTACCTCATCCAAATGATCTCACACAAAAGGGTTTTTGAGCATTTCTATGCAACATGTGCGCCCAACTGAAACTGTGTTCACATAAAAGCTGCCATTTCGCTCTTTTATTCGTCCTCACTTTCATCTATCTCCTTTTCGCGCCCCTCCTTTTCTCTCTTTATTCTCTTTTTGCCCCAAGTGACCAAGGTGTGATGGATAGACAGGCTCTTCGGTGCGTGGAAGGGACACGCATGCGGTGCTGTGCACAATGGAGCACGCTCAGACAGGGTCAGGGTCGGCTGCTGGGCGGGGTCGGGGCGGAGTGTGGAGACGGCAAACAACCATCCCTGGAGGTGTAGAGATAAGAGACGCGGGACGGGAAAAAGAATCTAAAGTAAACAAATAGAAATCTCTCTGAGCTATGCTAAGAAAATGTAGCAGTTTTCAAGGTCACAACAATGTATCTGTGGTAATGATACGTTGCAATACTGTCCTCAGAGGTAAAAATTATTATTAATTTACTATTTAATTATCAAGCAAATTTTACTTATTTGCTTATTAATTTTACTTTAACTTTTTAATGTTTATCCATTAAATTATAGTCTTTACACTAAAAAAAAGTAGGATTTACTTGAAAAAAAAATCACTCAGTAATTGCTAGAACATTTCACAAATAATTGAATTCAACGTGAAATTTTTAAGTAGAAAGACTGAAATAAAACTTTCTAGTAAAACATACCCAATAATCCCTGTTTTATGTATAACTTTGAAAAAATAAACTATCATTCTTTTACAGTTAAGCATAATTTTGTTATGATTTGTTTACAATGTACATAACTGGTGTTTGCTGTTGCTAGTTGATTATTTTTATTTTAGTTTAGTTTAGTTTAGTTTAATTTTTAGTTTAGTTGCCCAGATTTCAGCTTCTTAAACAGTCTTGAAGAAGTTCTCATGTATGCTGGACACTTGTTAGCTGCTTTTCCTTCACTATTCAGTCTAAACTCATCTGTTTTTGTGTAGTTTTGTAAATAACTTCATTTTATTCCAATCCTATTTGCCAGCAAACCAATTTCAGGCACTTAATAATATGTCTTCAGATCATAAGTTTAATAAGATCATAAGAAACATCACTCTTGACTGGTTGCATAGATAAAAAACAAGAGAAGTATATGGTACATCCTCATTTAGATAGCCAAGTAAACATGCGTGTCTGTGAATACAAAAGCATTCAAACATTAGTAATGCAGATAAATTCACTGAATGAGGGAGACCGAAAGCCTTACCAGTGTATTAAAATGCGTTACGCCTACATGTGTGTGAGTGAGTAATAAATTGCTTTAGATTAAGGCGTGTGTGTGTTTATCTCCGCTGCACTTGATTTAGAATGAAAGACAGACAGAAGCAGGTGATCTTTATAAAGGGTGTAGGCCTCCTCTCTGGGTACAGTCTGGGTCACAGGCCTTTGTGACCCACAGGGCTGGAACCACACGCAACATCTTTCACTATACCCTTTCATCCCCCCACCTGCCCCGACTCCACACCGAGGGGCATCCGATACGCTTCTGTCGCCTCCACAAAAGCCCACCAAGACTAAGCCTTTCCAAGCAAGACAAATCTCCGGCAAACAGGCCCCGCAGAAAGGGAACGCCAGGGAGGCGGGAGTCTCGAGGGTCACACCACACCTTCAAATCCACCTCCACCAAAAAAGCAGGTGCCAATAACTCAAAAAAGAACAGAAAGGATTCAATTGAGGGTGGTCGAGATATAATTTCGCCCTCATGCACGTACAGAACCCATCCAGACCTTGACCTCCTCACCTCTGGGAACCTCCAGGAGAAGAGCCAGGGATCATCTCAGATGTGCCATGACTCCAGAAAAGAGGCCCTCTCTTCTGTAAACACTTTAAATACACTCATCTTCTCTAAGACAAACATACGCGGCTGAGCTCTGCGCACGACAAGCACCCACATCGGCAGGCAAATGGACTTTTTATGAGGCCGCTTCGTTTTAAAAGCACTCAAATAACTGAGGGGAAAGAGGATGGGATTTGGGTGGTATGACAAAGCGTGGGACTCGCAAAGGGACGGAGGAACGCATTCCAGCTTGATGGCGTGTTTTGGCAGGATGTGGTGACATTCTGCAGTGCGTTCTATGAGAGGGTTTTATGCCCACCTGAACGTGGCAGGGGGGCCAGAGTTTGTTGGAGCCAGACACACACACTCACATAGTTGGAAACGCTCCAATAATCCCTCCACCGTATAGCTGTTCTATAAAACAGCGAGAAGTCATTCAACAAGAAAATGCGCAGTGTCAGAATGTTCCTGACTAAACATATTTGCCACACATCACCTTATAAAACAAACACACACGCACAAAAAAAAAATTTGTTCTGGCATTGACTACTCCATTAAATTAATCAAAGGAACATTGGATGGCAATCTGAGCTACATGCTGAATGACTGAAACATGGAATGGTTTAGCAGTCCCATCATCCCTGGTGGCGCTTTGACTTCCTGACTCCCAACAGAGTCTCCAAGGGTGCTAGCCTTTGCATGGGCGCCATTTGGTCACTTCCATTAAATTAGCTCTCTCCCTAGCCTGTAATCTAAATGAAGAGATGCCACAGACTAGCTATTTTTATATAAACCCAAAGTTAAAGTCTTGATGACTGACTAATCATCCAACAACCGACTAATCAGGTAAACAAGCTTTTTTTCCAGATGTGTGCATGCTGCTAGACAGCCAGTTTTACTTACATCTAAGCCTTTTATCCAAAGCAACTTTTATCAGTTCGCATTCTTTGGGAAACAACCCATTGAAATTGTTGAAAAAAAAAAACTTGAAATTTATCAACTTTAAAACACAGCGAGACGGATGTCTTCGGCCATTGCATCATTTCTCACGCTGTTTTTGAGTGTCCTGCCACAAGGATTACGCTTTTAGGATTCATTTCCATCAAGATAAAAATGTGCCTTCAGAACCCTCCATTCATTTCCATTCTGTTACACTTGGTCTAGCTGATTTTGTCTTATGAAAAGTAACACATCTAATCAGAGTCAGGTGAATCAAGCAGCTTTTTGTAGGTCAACAATCTTAATGAATTTGATGAGATTTGAGGAAATCTCATCAAATTCCCAATCGCATGGATTCCTATTAAACTGCCTGGATTTAACCTGCGAAAACTCACCAAACAATGGCAAATGTGAATGGATCTTAACTATAAAGGGCTTCCTTAAGACAAATTAACTGACTAGTTGTTCAGGCAACTCACTGACCAGTCAGCTGTGAAAATATGTTACTGCACATCCCCTAAAAAAGTTAAATATAATTACTACAGGCCACACACTAACCCCACCCCTTAAAAATGATGAATCATTTTACCTTTGAGAACATCTGCAAAGGAAAATTTTGTCAGATTTACCTAACTTCTAACAGTAATTACAATTGTGGACCCAAAGTATAGCTAAGCAAACACATTCACTCAACAACAGAGGAGGATGAGGTAACTGTGTTTGTTATTGTGTTTGTGGTGATCTGCAGGAGACATAAGGGCTGCCTTCGGTTTATTCACACACAAACATATCTAAAGCTGTGTTTATCCGTTTAAGTGTACATCTGGGCTCTTATTTCTCAATATCACAATAGAGGTTGCAACAGTTGTGATTCATTCCCTACACACTGAAGAAACACACCTTAACCAAACCAATGCACTGTAGACTCTTGCACAAAATTAAATTAGGTGGATCATGGTTGATTTAAAGCCCACAGAATGGGTCAAGATATACTGTGGAGATGCTTGTTTACTATCCAATCATTTCCATCTATCAGTAGATCATTGACTGACGTGTGTGTTTATTTCCTCACCATTCTCCCGGCTTCATTGTTCTGACACACACACACTCACACACACATAATTAGGAAACAGACAACATTCCACCGGCTGCAAATCACTTTGTTAAATCATCCACAACTCTTCAGTACACTATTTTTCTTGATTATTCACTTAGGAAGGCAAAGAGTAAAACAACTTGTTTCCAGAACCCCACAGATGGTAACAATCTTTTTGGTAAGCCCTACAGTGAGAGATAAGATTATCAGAAACGTGTGCATGTACATAGACAGCACTGATTCATTGTTCCATTGTTATATACAGTATATCTCAATGGATATATATTGAAATGCAAGCGAAAAAAGAACTGACAGGTTATCCAGTGTTGGTACACTTGATATGAGGCATATGATAACCCGCAAAGCTTTCCTGCCAAAGAGGCGCTAGGTTTATAAAAATTTGTGCTCTTTTTCGCATCTGTTGTGCATGTGTTACCTGAGTTTTCCCCCATCTATTAAGCCATCTGGAATGCAGATTTCACATACCTCAACAGCACAGGCAATACAGTTAATAGCGTTTAACGTTTAAAAGCTGTTTAAACATGTTAAAAAGTGCTGGTACAACGATATTTAGAGATAAGCACTTTGTATCAATGCTCAGCGACACAGTAATTATGAGAGGAATTTTGTCAAACAAAACGTTTTTTTAACGCCAGGCCCTGAGAATTCCTTTTTAATGATCCGGCCTTCCTCAATGCCTTAATGAAAGTGAACTTGCCCCTGACTAGACGGACCACAAGTAACTGTTTTGTGTATTAAAAAGCACAAAAATATAAGACAGGAGCATGAAGCTTATAATGTTAATGATTCACTCCACACTTGTCAATTTTACAATAATTGATTTTATGGGTCAGAGTTTCAACTCTATTTTTAACATTTAAAAATATAGATAAAATTACTTATTTTTATAGCTATACTGTAGAGTAAAGTTTAGATAGATAGATAGATAGATAATTCGTTGCCGGTTTCACAGCATCAAACACACAAAGCGGCGCGTGTAAACGGGTGTGTACCTGCATTCCAGAGATGCGCCTATTGAATTTGGAGGGCCACTTTTATTGGCCTTTGGTGCACAGACTTCAAATAGAGTCCCGGATATCCCGACTCTGTGTCATCGTGTCATTGCATTTCAAAAGCGACGCTGGACAATGGCCCGACTAACACCTCAATATAAACCTCGCGATTGACTGCAAATAAGTCCCGTGCTATTTGGGGGGCATGAGAGGGGGCATGTCGCGTCTTACACCTTGTTTCACTGCTGAGCGGAACTAACACTCAATTGTGGCAAAGAGCGCCGTTTTCTGTGAGAGATCGACACGCAAACGAGCATGCATTCGATTTAAGTAGCCTACACGCTGCTTACAGGCTACATGAAAGACTGACACTATCTAGGGAAACTTTCTTTATTTAAATATACTGTATAAAAGATCTGAACGAATGCAAACATGCATGCATAAACTAATATAGAGCACCCATTATTTTAAATAAACAATGTTATATGAAAATCACAAAACTGATGTCAAGAGCACAGCGCTTAAATCTCACGCGGAGCTGTTCAGTGCATGCTGAGCACGCACCATTAACAGTTTACATGTAGACTACCACAACTAAACAAAACAGTACAATTATCAAAAAAGTTTGGAAAAGTATGCATTTATATGCGTTATTTATTTTTAATGCATTTTAAAATTGCCCAGTTGCTCAATAAAAAGTTGCAAACAAAGTACCATAATAGGCCTACTGGCCTATTGTTCCATTTAAACTAAAAATACTTGTGAATCAATAAGTTGGCTGAAAATGAAAAAGAGTCTTTATTTTGATAAATGTGACTACTGCTATGTTCACATGAATTGTGATCATGAAATTGAATTGTGATCATGAAAAAAACATTAAAAAACAATAATAGACCCTTAAACAATATATCTACCAAATATGGCAGATGTACATATATGTTTTATCAATTCTTTTTATGCAGCTTTGACACAGATATCATCTTTCAGATAGGCAAACTAGAATTAAACAGCCGGTAATGTGACTATTTACACCAGCCACATGAAATCAAGAACTTAATTAATAGTTGACAACTCTGAACAAAATACATTAACTATTTGTAGGCCCTTCTAATTCAAAATTACACTGTGGTCTGAAATATCAAAGCAGGCATGCATTCAAAAGCTGCATGCTTTATTGTTGTGCAGTTAATCAATTTAGATACTTGTTTTGAATGCATATACATTGTAAGCATCATCACAGTGACTCACCTATCTGCATGACTCGGCCGAACACGGATGTGTTGTCCACCGTGCTACAGTTCCATCGCCTCTGCTTGAACTGATACTGACACTCCTTGATGCCCGTCTTTGCGCCCTCTCCGATATAAACCATATGGTCCTGATAGAGTTGGCAGAGCTTCCTCTGACCCTGAGACAGGCCCGTCAGCTGGCTGCACAGAGGCTGTGCCCCAATGATGTACATCTCCGGTCTCTGGATGGGGTTCATGGCTAATGACCTTAGAAAGTAAGACCAAAGCACCGACCATCAGCCAAAAACAGTGTATACTTGAATATGCACAACTAACCTACAGCGTACATGACACACAGTCATTATTTATAGTGTAAAACTTCATTAGGCTATACTTATGTGGAGTAAGTATGTTAAGTAAGTAAGCTGTGTTTTTTTTTGGAGAACGCAATAAAATATAGTAGCAAGAATTGTTTTGTCACTAAGTCAAACTCTAAACCTGTTATTCACTGCAATAATCATGAACCAGTTTAATTTCAAGCAAATTCATTGTTTGTGACATTAAGTTAAGGATTGCATGGCATAAATGGTGTCCGTAACCTATTATCAAATTGAAAACTGTTGGAAAAACCTGTTGTCCTCAGGACATGTTGCCTTGAATGCCCTTATTTACAAACAGTTTGACCATTTGTTGCTCAAGGTAAATATTGTGACAAAGCCTCCACATTTGTTCTCAGCTAATAGTTTTCTTATGCATTGTTTCATCCTTCACAAACACGTTTAACTCGATATGATATTCTTTAGAAATATAGATATGTAACTCAGATCTGATCTTACCACCATGAGGTGGCGACCACCAGCAGCCGAGAGTTGCAGACGATGAGGGTCACTGCCAAAAGTAGGTGTCCTTGGTTCATTCTCACATCCATCCTTTCTCGTCCAAGAAATGGAAACGTGAAGAGCCTCCTCTGGGGAAACATTTAGGAAATGATAGTAATCCACTTGGAGGAGCTGCTTCCTTTAGTAACTTAAAAAAAAAAAGTACAGTGCCTCTGAATCCCCTCAATTTCGCCCCAGCTCAGTTTTAAACACCAGCTGTGAGTAAAACACCTAGGTGACCTGAGGCACTAACGGAGTCTGACATCTGTTAAGAATGTTCTTTTCAAACTCCGCTTTATAAAACAGAACGAAAGTGGATGTCGGTGCGTTATGGATATAAGCGGCACGTGGATGGAAGTTAAAACGAACGAAGAAAAAGACATAAGTGCAACTATGTGGTGATGGTCCAAATTCTCTCCCCCTCTGTCTCTGCCGGTTCTCTCGATATGAACTAACACCGCTGCGCTCCGATGGCACAACATAACCCTCCTTCCTTCTGCTCGCACTTCTCCGCACCCCCTTCGTTTTAACGCGGATACAATGGAGAGGAGGAGGAGCGCGAGGGGAGCCGAGGAACTGGTGAGGAATTTGGGGAGGCCAAACAACACAAGAGGGCAGCAGATGAGAATCCGATTCGTAGCAGAGCTTTGATTCTCCGGTGCGCAAGAGCGCGTTTTGCACTCTTTGTAAATTATGACATAGCGCATGTATTAAGAGGAGCTTGAGATACTCGCGGAGCATTTCTATGAAAATGAAAAAGTCAAAAGTTCACAGAGGGAGATGGAATAAAAGAGTTAACGGCTTGGAAAATATCATTCTTCCATCAAAGTTCACATGCGTATAATCTCCATTCTTTTTAGCTCTATAGTTTACCGCAATAAATCCGAACAAAGGGGAAACAAAAAAAATCCCGGTTTGACATGAGGAATAAAAGCCACGCATGTGATCTTAGACAGTTCAACTCCTGCTACCCTCTAAATCACTTTGCACATAAAAGTCGCAGTTGCATTGAACGCACTTGGGCATGAGATATCCACTCACACTTCAGGAACCAAGACTTAAACCGTGCTATAATGTGGGGAAAGTTTGATCATCACACCCTTTTTAGACGAATTTACAGCTGATAACCAACATTGCAGACATAAACAGCCACATTGCACCCTATCCTTCAGAAGTGCGGTGTAAGGAATGCAAATACAATGAGTGTTTTACAGCTCCAGACACTTGGAGAGGTAAGGGAATTGTAGAGAGCCCTGTGCCATTCCAGCATCACCCCCACACTTCTCTTTTGAGTGCCGTCCTACAGACATGTCAGAATTGGTGTGAGAGACGCCACTCAATTTCCGAGCAGTCTGTGCATGATAAAGGGCCTCTCCGGACCCTTTCATCTCCTCTAATCCACACGCCCAGCCATCACCTTTACGCCTCCCATCGCAGACCTGGGCTCGTCTCCATGTCCCTCCCTCACTCTGGAACCCTGGCGCACAGTGAGCAATAAACTCTATGTATTTTACTTTGCACTATGCGGAGTTTATAATTACTGTATCGTTACTGTACTCATGTGGTTTCTTCAGTTTTTGTAAATACAATACCAAAATCAACGTGTATAAGAATTTCAAATACTAGGATTTATTGGACAATGATTAGGAAAACTGTATAAAAAAAATAAAATAATGTCTAATAGATTGGCTTATTTTTAAGCATGGTGTGGTTAGTGGTTAAGTTGAGTTCACATTCATTAGTAGTAAATGCTGTTTGCTCCCCCCGGTGCACTGATTAAGTAATTACAACACACTGAGAATCTAAAATAAAAATAAAATAATATAAAATAAACCATAGACTGTAATCTTTATTACACCGACCAAAATGTACTGTACTGTTTAAAAATAAGTTCCCAAACTCTTAAAAAATAAAGGTTCCAAAAAGGGGGTTTTCACAGCAATGCCATAGAAGAACCATATTTGGTTCCCCAAAGAACCTTTCTGTGAACAGAAAAAAAAATGTAATTCCTAGTGTGAAGAACATTAAAAAAAATCGAAAGAACCTTTTTTCACTATAAAGGACCTTTTGTGGAATGGAAAGATTTCACGGATGTTAAAGGTTCTTCATGGAACCACAGATGCCAATAAAGAACCTTTATTCTTAAGGGTTTATGAAACGAAAGGCCAAAAATAGACCTAATACATTTAACTAATGAAAACTGGATTGCATTTTTAAAATAATTATATTCTGTAAGCTTTCGCGTTAATTGTTAATCAGAAAACACAAAATAAAATTACATTGCAATTGACAAAATAAACAAAGATTTTCTCAAGTCATTTTGAATTAAAAAAACTACCAAATGTGTAAATGTAGCTACATAATAATGATAACAAAACAACAACAACTATTATTATTATTTATTTTAAAAATAGTCAATTTCTAATGCACACTTTGCATTCACAATTGAAAGTCTTGACTCTGTTACTGCATCTTATCACATGGTGGCGCACTTTAGCAAGAAATGAACAGAGACAGTAAAACTAGCAATTACATTTTCTCACGAGGTCTATGCAATCGCAGCGCAACCCTTCGCAATGCTAGTGTAATACATGACTGATGCCTCATGCTTATCAGTATGCATTAAGCTCTTTGTAGGTGCTAAGAAAAATATGCATACAAATTTTTTTTGCGTTGCCAGAGCTCGTGCATAAACACCACTGCCTGTGATTTTATTTTATTTTTAAAGAGTCCTGTGAGGTCTTTTGAATTAAGAGCCACTTCTATCCTCTCCAGGAGGTCACCTCTGACTGTGACCAATAAAACCTGTAAAAGCAGCTGAGTCTTATAGATAAGTGTGCTTACATATATCACATATGCATTGCTTATACATTACTCGCTCTGCCTGAAACTTGTGCAAATAATGCACATTTCAATGTGACCTTAAATGGGCACGTTCTCTCTCTGTCGGTCTATTCTATGCCATCTGTGCCGCTGCCAGCTATGGTTGGTAAATGATGACATCACTGGCACGCATGAATAGAATCCGAGCATCCAGCTTCTGCTGGGTTTCAGAATCTGGATGCTGTCTTCATACAGGCTTTGCAGATTTGTACAGACTTATATTAGCAGAGTGGTTGCCAGTGCTGGCAGATCGGTTAGACAATGAAAATTCTGTCATCGTTTACTCACACTCATGTCATCCTAACCCGTATTATTTTCTTGCTTGCATGGAAGAGAAAACAAGATGTTTAACATGTTAGCGCTGCTCCTTTCCATACAATGAAAATGGACCATCAAGCTCCAATGATAACAAAATGACCATAAAGCATCATGATGCCTCATGCTTATCAGTATGCATTAAGGTCTTTGTAGGTGCTAAGAAAAATATGCATACAAATTTTTTTTGCGTTGCCAGAGCTCGTGCATAAACACCACTGCCTGTGATTTTATTTTATTTTTAAAGAGTCCTGTGAGGTCTTTTGAATTAAGAGCCACTTCTATCCTCTCCAGGAGGTCACCTCAGACTGTGACCAATAAAACCTGTAAAAGCAGCTGAGTCTTATAGATAAGTGTGCTTACATATATCACATATGCATTGCTTATACATTACTCGCTCTGCCTGAAACTTGTGCAAATAATGCACATTTCAATGTGACCTTAAATGGGCACGTTCTCTCTCTGTCGGTCTATTCTATGCCATCTGTGCCGCTGCCAGCTATGGTTGGTAAATGATGACATCACTGGCACGCATGAATAGAATCCGAGCATCCAGCTTCTGCTGGGTTTCAGAATCTGGATGCTGTCTTCATACAGGCTTTGCAGATTTGTACAGACTTATATTAGCAGAGTGGTTGCCAGTGCTGGCAGATCGGTTAGACAATGAAAATTCTGTCATCGTTTACTCACACTCATGTCATCCTAACCCGTATTATTTTCTTGCTTGCATGGAAGAGAAAACAAGATGTTTAACATGTTAGCGCTGCTCCTTTCCATACAATGAAAATGGACCATCAAGCTCCAATGATAACAAAATGACCATAAAGCATCATTAAAGTAGACTTCTGTGCTATTTTCCAAGTTTTCAAAAGTATTAAAAAAACTGCACTATTAAAAATAAAGGTTCCAATACAGGGTTTTTGTTGCAATGCCACAGAAGAACCACTCTTGATCCCTAAAGAACTTTTCAGTTCTTAAAAGAACCATTTTTTTTCTTAATGTAAATATAAGAAAAGAAAAAATCTAAAGAAACTTTTTCCACTATAAAGAACCTTTTGTCGAATGGAATGGCTCCATGGCTGATAAAGTTCTTCATCGAACCATAGATGCCAATAAAGGAACATTTATTTTTAAGAGTGTATGAGGAGAAGACCAAATTTTTGAACAAATTTGACCACATTATTGAGCAAATGTGCATATTCAAACCATAATATATAAGCATTGAGAGCTCATTTTGGTTTTGTTCCTCACACAAAGCTATCGTATGACATTGTCTATATTGTAAATAACCTTTTTCTACTATAAAGAACCTTCTGTTGAATGGAAAGTTTCCATGGATGTTAAAGGTTCTTAATGAAACCATAGATGCCAGAAAAAAGCAAACCGTCCTTTTTAAGACTATTTGAGGAGAAGACCACATTTTTGAGCAAATTTGACCACACAATTGACCAAATAAGCTTTGAGGTTGATTTTGTTGCCAATGAATACCAATAAAGAATCTTTATGTTTAAGAGTGTATGAGAAGACAAATTTTTGACCAAATACGACCACATTATTGACCAAATGTGCACATTCAAACTGCACAAATAAGCTTTGAGAGCTCATTTTGGTTTTGTTTCGCACACAAAGCTATGGTATGACTCCATCTGCTATTGTTAAAGAGCCTAGTCACCATTCACTTTCAATGAAATAGCAGGGTGAACATTCTGCTTTACGTCTCCTGTTGTGTCCCACAGAAGAATGACAGCTCAGTGTCTGACACAGAACAAGAAAGAAACAGAGGTGAGAGAAGACAAGGAAAACACTGGAGCTGAGCAGACGGTGTGTGTATGTGTGTGTGTGTGAATGTGTGAGTGAGCAAAGATGAAGACAACCTGGCTAAAGCTCAGGA